GGGGAACTCTGCAAAAAACGCATCTTCGCACGGGCAGCCCGTGCGTTGGCCATTTATTTTTGTCGGATTTGTATCTAGCGACGGCGACGTTATTGCCCAATGATCTTGAATTTTGCAGTTGGGAAACGAGATTTCTGATGACGCGCCCGAACATCAAAGTTCTAGTAATGGTACAATAACAGAAGCAAGCGAGAAGCGGATTTTACGAAGAAATGCCTCACAGAGTGTGCCTGAGCGTCCACGGAGATCGATGTACAGATTGAGGTCAAAAGCCTACGACATGCTAAATTTTGAGGTAAGCCTACATGTACTTTACTTTAACTTTCATTGCACACTATTTCTGGTCGTTCATACAACTCTGGCAAAGTTCTCATTTACTGTCCGGAGCTTTCGGCATTCAAGAAGCTCAGTGTGCTGGATTCATATAAATGTGTACGCATCACTGACGCTGATCCATAGTGCACAAATCATATGCAATCAAAGGCAGTGAGAGGAGGGTCCATTTTTGAAGTTCCTGGAGTAAATATTCCTTCTTGCAGAGAGTACTGAGGGAGAGGAAGATCCTCGAAATATGTCAGTGGGGAACAAAATCTAACTCCAAAATAGCTGGTGCAGCTTGAATTTCGGCACCTTTCATACCTTTACCACTCATGGCATTTTCTATGATTCCCTCCGCGAGCTTTTCAGTCCTTTCGCAACCGCTCTTCATTTTTCCTCATATTTCTTTACAGTTTACTCTTTAGCACTTTCGAAACTTTATGATATTCATAAGAAGCAAGTTATTCCCTATCATTATGTTTTGTCTACCTCAAGACCGTGCCTCATTTTACGCTTGCGTCTTCCAAACATTGGCTTTTTCTTCCTTCTCGTTTGAGGTATATTTGAGGTATTTGAGGTACTCGTTTGAGGTATTTGAGGCATGAGGTATATTCTCGTTTCCAGTGGGATGCTTTGTGTTGATAGTCGCCAAAGTTCATTGAGTTTCTTAACCGAACTTTTTGTGACTTGTTAAGGGAATTTTCCTGCTCAAAGGGAATCCTACTTGTGAATTGGGAACTCCCAGTTCATTTATGTTGCTTAGTTATTAATCAGCAATCCTCTCTGTCCATCTGGTCGCCCATCTTTGCCACTTCAGCTCTTTGTTGTAGCATTAACTTGCATTTTTAATGTTTTTATGGTACTGCGCTTGCTTGCGATAGTTGTTATGCTTTAACGGCGTCTGCGTTTCTGGAGGACTTTTGAAAGAAATTTTAGGTGGTATGTGAGCCCCCAGCAAATTCGCTGAAGCCAGCCCTGATAACTGCTACACGCCAAGCAGCGCAGCAAATTTTGCGCAAAGCCAGAGAATGGAGGCGCGTACGGTTTCGTTCAATTCCGGATATACAGGATATCACTCCACGTCCGGACAAAATTCCCGGAATTGTGAAAATGCCGGATTCGCCACCATCGGTCAGGGGAAATGCGACATCAGAAGTCTGTTGCAAAAATTTCATTGTTATCCGTTTTA